AATTCAATTTAGTTTGAATGACGATTCCATACAATTAAAAAGTCATATAAAGACAATAGCATGACCAAACAATGAAAATAGTGGCGTGGCAACTTATAAGCCAAAAAAAGTGGCACCTTACATTTTCAACGCCATTTTGGAATAAATCGAAAAAATTTCACTAATCATTGTTTGTTCGGAAATGACTTCAGATTTTAAAAATTCATTGAATTTCAGTGCCAGCACATATGTTTACCTTAGTTTTCCAAATTGATTTGATTACTTTTTGAGAAAAAATAAAAATTATGTTTTTTATTTTTCAATTTTTTTTTGTATTCTAAACTTTGTACAGTGAAAACTGTGTTTTGTGGCTTTTCGCACCGAAACTAAACTGAAATTGGTTATGACGTATTTGCCATCGATGACAGCTGGAATTTTGGTATTGTCAGTGCTGGAACGTCAAAATCCAGCAGGGGTGGCCACTTACAAGCCTTTCTCCTATCAAAAATTCTCTAGAAATTATTTAGAGATACTTGTCAAAACAACGTTTGCCGAAACTGACGTGGGATCATAGGTTCCATTTGATTTTTGGGTGGTCATAAGCGGTCGGTTCAGTATTTATGGTATGAGGCTCTGCAGGGGGACAAGGATAAGTTGCAAGATCCAAGCCCCAAACTGTGGTCTTATATTCGGGGGCAGTAATACCAGCAGAGACTAAATTACGATGCAAGTAGTTTAAATATTAAAAATTAATGCCGATTATTTATTTAAAGCTTTTGTTATTATTACTGCTGTTTTGAGAAATTTAAGTTTATGAACCGAATGTTTGGTTATTTAGTCTAAGGTAAACGAACCATATTACGGCATGTTAAGGAACGTTTGACTTTAAAGACGAATTTTAGATAAAATAGGGAAGTGGACGAACTAAATCTGTTATTTTATTAATTCGATCTTTAAGATTATTATAAAACAAGATTTTTTGTCGTAGAACGTCATTTATAGAAATAATCGGCATTTTGGTGAACTACGCGTTTGTCTCTAATTCCGTGATAAAATTCAGTTCATGAACATAATGCCGGGAGTCATTGTACACTATTCCGTGATAGCGCTCGAAGCATACATTTTTGATCGTATTGCCTTGATAATTATAGTTGAATAGGTTATAAAAATACGGTTAATTATAAAATAATGCTTTGATACCATTTTAAACATTTATTTAGTTTTATAAAAATCATAAAAATATAAGAAGTTGAAAATCTTCTAAAATAAAAGTTGGTATTATTAAAGTAATAGCAGTTTAATAGTCATTATCAATACTGTTTCGGTAAATCAAATAAATGAAACAATAAAAGAATAATTTTTAACGGCAATTAAGCAAAAATATAAACTTAAAATAAATATAAAATTTAAACTCCAAATAAAAAAATTAAACTTGAAATAAAAGTTACAATTCCACCAACAAACGTAAATCTTTAAAGACTTTAAAATAATCTTTAAAAGTTTTTCAAGTTAACAATAACTACTAGCTTAAATCGGATTTGATTGAGAATTTTGTATGTTTTAAAAGCTTTAAAATACATTTATTATAGTATGGCAAATTTCTTTTAAATCCTTTTCCAGGGATTTGGGTAAATATTTAATTAAAGCCTTCGTTCTTTGAAAAACTGAAAGACCGATTTAAAATCATACCCAAATAAATTTACTGACATTGAATATAATTTTAATTATATTTATTAAACTGTATTAGACTATTAGAAAGTTACTGCATTCAAGAGTAGCCTCGGCAACTTATTTTCGAGTAGTTGCAATTCATATTAACTTAATAACTTATGATGTATGTTTGTTTTTTTGTTATGCAGGTTATATTATATTCCAAAAGCTCAATCGAATCAAAACTATCGTGTTTACAAGAATGTCCCTAGATTTCTGCATACATACATACATACCAGCGCCCTAGTGAATCCGCGCCCTATAAGTACCGTGCGCTATACGGGGTATACCTGTATTTTTATTCAATTTATATAATAGAAATAATTGATCATAGATGAAAAGGTAGAAATGAATAATTCTCTCATTACTACAATATTCTAGGTATATTGCAAAATGCAAATAAGTGAAAAAAATCGTGCACTTGCTTACTAAAGAGTGATCATTTCAAACCCAATTATCAGGGTTAAAAATTAAAAAAAACCTATACCGTAATAACGTTACAGTATTCTGTAGTCGTTAACAAACTTATTAACACCAGAAACACCGCCGAATTTAAGCACAGTTGAAAATAAAAGATAAAACTACTTCAGGTCTACTTCTCGTAATTGCGGGATACTAACGGAATTACGTTCACTGGTTCAGTTGCGTGAACCTAATTGCGAAAGTCATGAAATTGACAATTTTTTGACAAATATATGCTCGATTTAACTATAAAACTAATCTCTTACTATTACTGATGAAAAATTTCACATATTTGAATCAATTGAGTTTATCGGAATCGAATAAAAACCTTAAGCAATGGAATCGTCACATAATCTAACTCGCTAACAAGCTAGTATAAAATGGCGATCGGGTTACGACCGATGCTTTCAAAAGCTTTTTACGGCTATAAAAACTAATATTTAAATTTAAAAATCGTACTATTTTATCAAGATTCAAATTATAATTGATGTGCTATTGAATAAAATTATTATTTATTGACCGTTTTCTTATTTTGCGATCAAAATGAAAAACTCCCGTAATAATGTACTATCCCTGAATAGTGTACATTTATCTTATTTTTTTTTTCTTACCGCGTGATTCATTATTGTCTATATAAACGAGTTCTTATAAGCATCTTCGGATGTTATTTGATTTGAATCATGTTTGTCAGTATTATAACCAACTACACAGAAACACACCCACATAAGTTAAGTTTGTTTTCAAGATAACGTGTTCAAAAAAGCTGTACAAAAATCATTTTTGGTAACTTTTTCTTTTTTCTTTTTACATGTATTTTCTTATCAACAAATATTTATTATAATTTTAATTTCTTTTGTGCTTAATTTTGAAAACGTCGCGGTGTAAAGTTTGATAAGTACAGTTTTTCCAAACACAATTTTTTAGAAATATAATAAATTAAGTTCAGTTGAGGGTTAAATAGGCCCAACATATGTTTTTTATAGTTTTTATTTGTTCTAAAGATTACGATTTTTGATTTATAGCATGATGCGGACAGAGGTGGGCCACATTTTATTTTTGGTTGTAAAAATGTTTTTTGTTAACGTAAAGAAGTTGGTGCGGTTGGTCACTTCAATTAAAAGTGTCTGTCACAGTTATTGCACTCGATGAAGTTTTTTCTTGTCAGCTCTGCCAGCATTAATTTATTACAAATAATGCAAAAATCGATATCCTGTAATCGAAAAATGTGATAGTAAAATGTGTTTGTTCCTGATCTGGTGTGCATAACTTGGTCTTTTAATTAAATTTTCTAATATAATATTTTTAATTCTGTTTGGAGGGTATGTAATGACGCGTTGAAAAGACGATATGCTAACGTTAGTAACACCAGAAGCAGCGATATTTTATTTATTTTTACTTCTTTCATAACAATATTGAACTTTACATAATTTACATGTTTTTTTTTAAGAATTCTCTATTTTTAGGAAGGATGATGGCTGAAGTGATGAAAATAAGTAAATGTAAATTGTTTGAATAATTGATAAAAACACTTTACTGTGCAAAAAACGGCATTACTCAAGTGGCTTATGTTTGTCCACAAATAGTGGCTCACTTCTATCTACAAACGCCTTTTTTGCATATGCATCCCACAAAAACTCAATGTAAACAGTCGGCAAAAATCACTTTGCATTTTAAAGATTATATGTTTAAATAATAATTTGCACATTTACTTGACTTTTTCTTGCGAAAATTCAATGACAAATCGCGTAAAAGCGTACGAAGGTAAAAACTTTCTAGGCAAAATTCTTAGCGCGTTCCAGTCAACAATTATAGACACGGGTACGTGGAACCCAAACATCAATAGAAATTAACAACAAATTTTAGAGCCGACATTATGGATCCTCGGAACACCAAAGTACATAACCTCTAACCTTACGTTCATGTAAAAGTACTTCTTTTGGGTTCAGAGCGAATGCTTTGTTTGTCATTGAGAATATTTTGACAGAACTGTCACCTGCCAAAAATGTCCTTTCAATTGAAATTTGAATATAGATTTAATAATCAGCCTAGACATTATTAGAATACAATTTATTTATTAATAAGAGAAATATTATGTCTACATTATTATTGCCGAAAAGCAGCTGCGATATGCAAGAAGTTAAATTAATAGAAGATACGGTATATATTTGGTAGACAAAATTATATAATTTAATTAGATTGATTTTTTTTAACTTTTTAATGTCATCTTTTGCCTTACCCAACTACTTATTTCAGAATACAAAAAATTATTTACAAGTTTTATTGTATCAAAAATCCATTTGTTTGGGATTAGATATGGAAAATGTAATTAGTTGATCACAGATTGAATAGTGCAACAGGATTTTACAAGATAATTTACTCAAAATATAAACTTACGTAATAATGTATAATAAGTTATTAGTAAGACAAATGTTATTCAAATATTATAATTTTGAATGGAAGGTTGTATAAACTATAGGCAACATTATTGAAACAATTATTTAGCGTGGAAAAATCCAAGGTGATATTGTACTTTTACCGTGGATACTATCATAATATAATTCTTTCTGAATTTGTTATGCTGTTTAAAAGACTGCAATTTTCAAAACGTATACTTTTTATATTAAGTCCATAAATAAATCACAAAGGCACATTAAATAGGATATTGTGAAGTATGGGTTGAGATAATAAATAATCACAAAAGCACATTTAATAGGATATTATAAAATAAGCTGAGATATTAGACATTTTTGGAGTTTTTGAATTGTAGACGTCGGTATAAGACAATGTCTGTCGGGTCAACTGGTATATAAATAATTATACTTATAAAATGTGATATTTGTCATACATACTTCAACACTAAAGACGTCAGATCTTATCCAAGCTCGTTCGTGCATGATATCTTTTATAGAGACGCCAAGATCTGCTAACATACGACATAGTTCTGCTATGCCACCAGGACGATCGCTCACAGTAACTGTAAATCTAATAATATATTTATGTCATTAATTTATGCTGAAAAATCAATAAAAAGTAATATGGTTATATTAATTAATGTCAACCGCTATACAAATAATTTAGTACAATAAATTATTTACTATCATTCATCGAATAAGATATGTTTAGTTCGAAATAACTAAAACTGAAATTAGAGAAACGTGCTCATGTCTACTTGCTTGTACCAGTCTATCAAGTTGCGCGAAAAACATCCCACAAACGCTACAGAATGCATGTGCAAGTCATTGGTTTGCTCAATTATACCGTAACGTCTTTGGCAGATTTTGTAAATTGAAATTTTGGCCTATCACAGTTTTCATTTGTTTTCAATGCCAAACAATGTCTTGAATATTTTCAATGTCAAACAATGACATGTCGTTATATATATATATATATATATATATATATATATATATATATGTATGATTCTGAATTTGATGTTGACATATGTATTACAAAGTCTAATAATCGGGCATAACATCAATAAAAAACATGAATTTTTTTCAAAAATTTATTTTAAATCCATACGTTTCGGCTATAATCCTAGCCTTCATTCAGTGGAAACTAAAAATAAAATTAAAAACTAAAACAATTGAATTGGAGTGAAAAAAAAAATAAAATAGTAATTAGTACTTACAATTAGTAGATCTTAGTGTTAAATTGGAAAATTTTAATAATCCATGGTATTAGGATATGGTAATGCACTACACTATGTATTATAAACATTAACTTGAAATTACACAATATTTTCACAAAATACTGATTTGAAAAAATCACAAATGGATAGTGTGTTACTCGTAGACTGGTTGAAGATGTAATGGAGAAAGACATTTTTTAAAAAATATTTTTACCAAGATTCTAACATGTGTGGAACGAATTGCGAATCCTTTGCACGAACGCTTTTATTGTTTTGTAAGAAATTTGGAAATGTTATCTAAATAGAAGAGATTTGTGTCGCACAGCGTGTTGAGTTCATTCCGTTTATTTATTGTCTTATTGTTATAAATAGTTAAAAGAGATCCCTCTATAATTCTTCGTTTAAATAAATTTTGTTCGAATTGTAGTACAGTCGGATTAGAAAAGTCCATATTGTGTTTTAAAGTGTATATATGGTCTACAAGTACAGTTTTGAATTGTTTGGGGTTTTTTGAATTGTTTTTATGTTGTTGTAACCGTTTATTGAGGTTCTGGCTAGTTTCTCCTATGTAAATTAAATTACAGTCTAAACAATTTATTTGATAGACGATATATATATATATATATATATATATATATATATATTTTGTATGATTCTGAATTTGATGTTGACATATGTATTAACAAAGTCTAATAATCGGGCATAACATCAATAAAAAACGTTTTTTATTGATGTTATGCCCGATTATTAGACTTTGTTAATATATATATATATATATATATATATATATATATATATATATATATATATTAGCAAACTCGACGATCATTTATATTCATGATTATATTCATGATCTCTCTTATATATATATATATATATATATATATATATATATATATATATATATATATATATGAGTAAGTTCTTCAAGGGCATACATCAAATAAAAGGCAAAGATTTAGAAGTTAATCTTTAATTTTTCCAAACGTTTCGACATAGTATTTTATGTCATCATCAGTGGATCTACAGAATGAATATTGAAAAATTAATATAAACTAGGAAAAAATGACAGAAATTGGAAAAAGAACTATAGATATAAGTAATATAATTATAACAATAACAATTATACTTAACAGATAGATAAACAAGAGAAATGAAAAGTAAAAAGAAATATATACAAACATACAGTTACAAACAATACAGATAGTCTTTCGTTGTCCGTCGTAACGTACAGACGTGCCGTTTCAAATTGCCGCAATGATGTCGCAATCGACACCATTAGTGCCAGAATCGGAAGTGAAAACTTCCTATAATTGCTGTGAAACAAAGGCCCCAAATGTAGGCATTTGTAAAAACTGCGGAAAAATGTACCACATTAGTTGTGCTAATAGGAAAAACTTCAAATTTCTATATCGTAATCTGATACAGTGTTGTGTTAACAGTGAAGTGTACAGTGACCATATGGAAACAATTTCTAGGCTTGAAAAAACAATTGCCGACAAAAACACCATAATAGAAGACAAAATTACCATAATAAAGGATAAGGAGTACATAATTCAGCAGCTTGAGGATAAAATCAAGCTGCTGCAATGGGTAAATCCGAATCAAAAGAAGGAGCAGGTTTCTTCAGCTGCACCCAGTATTGATATCGATACTGAGAAAGCAGTCAATAAGAAATCAAAAAAAAAAAAGAATGGAAAGAAATCGAATATTAACAAGGAAAAAGATCCCAGCAAAATCTCAAGTGAACAAGTTAGTGTCGCAGTAGCAACGGCGCTGAAGAAACTGGAAGAGCGGAAAATTGAAACGTTCCGTGATGCCGTGGCGTCTACCGCTTTGCCTTCCAACGCCATTACTAACAATAAGAGCGTAACAGAAGAACAAAATTGGACTTTGGTCCAAAGAAAGAAAGCGCCAAGGCGAAAGGCCACAACTATCGAAGGCACAAATGCTAATGCCGTTATAAAAGGTGTGGTGAAGCAAGCGCATCTACATGTGTTTCGACTGGCGCCAGAAACAACGGAAGAGCAATTGGAAAATTACCTGCGGGACAAAAATTTCGAAAGCGTAACGTGCAAAAAAATTGCATCCAAACATCCAAACGTATATTCATCATTCAAGGTATCAGTTTTGGAATCAGATTTAGAAAAAATTAAATCGCCGGAAATATGGCCTCAAGGAGTATGCGTGGATCGTTTTTTATTCAGGCTCCAAAAGCAACCAAGCAACGACAAGTAAATATATTAAATATACTCTGTCTGAACATTCAATGCTTATCAAATAAATCAGCTGCTTTGTCAAATGTAGTCAACGTAAATAATATTGACCTACTTTGTCTGACAGAACACTGGTTAAATGACAAACAAATCAATTTATTTAATATTCGTGACTTTTGGCTGATCAGCAGTTTTTGCCGTAGTGAACACATACATGGCGGAGTTGCAATATTTTGCCGAAATCACCTTGACTGCGCCGAATTAAATGACATGGCAGTGCAACCTGCTGAGCTTGCATGCGAAGTAGCGGCGTGTTATTTAAAACAAATAAAAACAATTATTATTGTTATTTACAGGTCGCCAAATTCGACTTTAAATATGTTTTTATTAAAACTTGAAGAAATACTAACGCGCATATTTAACACATTCGAATCGAAAACTAAAGTCATCATATGCGGTGATTTCAATGTGGATTTCTTAGTAGATTCGAATGATAAAATTGCGCTAATTAACTCTGCTTCCACTTTTGGACTGGAACATAGGTTAATGAAACCAACACACATCAACGTGAACTCTAAAACTTGCATCGATAATGCATTCACAAACTTACAATCAGACCAATTCATGATTGATACTTTATCATGTTCGATCTCCGACCATGAAGCATTGATTATGAATCTCAAAACTTCTTCTACCAACGCGAACATCCGCATAATAAGAAAAATAAATGAAAAAAACTTGGAACACTTCAAAAAACAACTATCTCTAGTTAATTGGAATTGCTTGGACCAGACTGAAAATAGCAACAAACAATTCAATATTTTTCTGAATATTTTTAAACAAATAGCAAACAACGCGTTTCCTTACAAACGCATATTGATAAACAAAAACAAAATTTCGGCACAGTCAGAAAATCTACGAAATCTCAAAGAACTTGTGGATTTTCTATATGATGCTTTTAAACAGTCACAGCGAATTGATCTGAAACAATACTTTGAACATTATAAAAGATTATATAACCATAAAATGGAAATGGAACGTCAACAAAGTAATGTAATGAATATAGTTAAATCAGATAATAAACAACAAACTATATGGAATATAATAAAACAAGAAACAGGTCAAAAATATTCAAATAATATCGGAATTGGTACGCCATCAGCAAACGAATTTAATCATTTTTTCAGGAATGTAGCTGTCAATCTAACCAAGGACTTGCTCGACGCAAAGACTAGACCCGAAGCTTATTTAGCCAAGGTATATGTCAGTGGGCGAAGTATGTTCTTGAGACCAACATCTCCAGAAGAAATTGTTACAGCGATTAAACAGATGAAAAACAAGACATCACTTGACGCTTTTGGACTAAACGCTAAAATGATCAAACCAGTAGCCGAGTATATAGCTTCACCGCTCTGTGCAATCGTGAACAGTGTATTCGATACAGGACAGTTTCCAGATAAAATGAAACTGGCGAGAATCATTCCAGTGTATAAATCCGGAGACCGCCAAGATGCATCCAATTATCGGCCAATCGCCATACTGCCTGTATTTTCTAAACTGATTGAAATGTTGTTGGCCTCAAGAATACTAAATTTCTTTGAAGCCAATAACCATTCAAACAACAGTCAATTTGGGTTTAGAAAGGGGTTGAATACGATCGACGCCATAGTAAATTTTCTAAATTTCATACAAGATTCTTTAGAGAATCATGAACATTGCGGTGCGCTGTTCTGTGACCTTAGTAAGGCATTCGATTGCGTACCACACAAAATACTTCTAAAAAAACTTGAATATTATGGACTGAGAGGTGTTCCGTTAACGCTGATGCAATCCTACTTCACGAATCGTCAACAATTCGTCGACTGGCAATATAAGCTCAGTAATGCAGAAGTAGTACCAGATATTGGAATTGTCCAAGGCAGTATTTTAGGTCCGCTACTATTCCTAATATTTGTGAATGACCTGCCCTCCAACTTGAATTGCCATTCGACTCAGTTCGCAGACGATACGGCACTGGCAGTTGCAAGCAAAGACATAAAAGTTATGAATGAAAAGAGGCAAAATGCTTATAAACAAGCTGAAGAGTGGTTCCTCGCCAATAAAATTGTTCTGAATAAAAACAAAACTGTTTCTAT